CAAGTCTTCATTAGGTCCCACTGCATGCATGTTGGTCCAATTGAGCCGTCGAAGAAGAAGTTTGCAGGATTTTTTGTTGTCAGTTTGTTCCTGTACTCAGTGATGATGCTGTTCATTCAGTTGTGTTGGAGCAAAGACCGATCTGACAGCTGCAGGAAACTGGTTCTTGAGGAGTGGAGTAGGCCACGCCTTAAATTAAGGCGATAATAGAGAGATCCTCTTAGTTAGACTTGGAACTGAAAATTATCAATATGCCAGTTGCCAAACAGCTTTTAAAAGTATGTGAAAAACTTTTGAGTTTGCTCTACTATTAGTGCTGGGTAATTAATTGCATTTACAATATACAGTAATCACATTTTAGAGAAATGCAATTTGCAGAAGCACTTCATTTTAGTCACATTACATTTAACAAGAGTTCTAAGATACAAAATTTCACTGCAGCCCTTTAGGTGGCGGTAAGACACTTAAAGTAGTTTTTCCGCCACACAGAAGGGAAGAGAGTGGCCACTTGCACGCAGATTCAGGCATTATAGAAGTAAGAGCTTTTTCATGCAAAGGTTACAGAAAAGTACTGCAATATTCGATCTGGAGAAGCAATCTTTCAGGGTCACGGAATAAAAGCTGAAGCCCTGGAGTAAAAAAATCTACATTTTTGTGCTTATTGCAAAATCACAATAAAGTTACAGTATTGGTTGAAAATAACCCCAGGTTGGATTTTGGGAAAAATTGTTCAGCTCAACTTTCTATGTAAAGCAAACCACTTATTTATGATCCTTTCCTATCCATTCTTCCAATTGAAGAAATACTTGTGGGATTAAATGTTCATTCACCTACAAAGAACTAAATAGTTAGCTTTTCAAAACTTATTATGTAATTAAGAGCTAAAAGTTTATTTTTGCTGTTATTTGCCAGATTTACAGAGAACATGAATGCAGCAGACCTGCCTAATCTGCTTCTACAAAGTCATAACAGGAAAATCCCAAATCATTCTTTAATCTTTAAATATCACTGCAAATTTTTACATAATCATTTCATTTCATTGTGGAAAGCTTTTTAAAATTGCATCCTTTTTCCAAAAGGTATAATATTTTGTTCAGTCCTTCCATCTGCCAGGTATCATGCGACAGATGATGCTCTGTAAAAAGTAATGAAGGACTTACTCATTCTGTGTTTATATTCTTCATGACATGATTGTGGAGTTTCTGAATAATCTCTCTTTTTCAGGAGAACTGCTCAAATAAAATTGGCAAGTGTAGAACCACATCAGAGTATAAACTCTCATTTTGCATTTGGTTTTTTGGGGTTTTTTTTGTTTGTTTTTGAAGCCTGTGATTGGGGTTCCATTTTAATTTAGGAGATTTTAATCACTGAGTAGTTTGAGCTAAAATAGGGTTACAGGGTTAAAATAGGGTAATATGGTGTACATATGATATACAAATGTATGCAACCTTATGGATAATATAGTTTTACAACCTAGTTGTAGAATTACCAATGGAACAGGGTGTTCAGTCTTTTGGGTTGGTGTTTTAAGATTCTTATGGTCTAGGGGTTGTAATTTGTTTTTGCCAGAATGGATGACAAAAGGGGATCACATGCACATTCTAACAAAAATCAAACAATAAACCACAAAGCAATTACAATTCATAAGGATCTCATGTAAACAATTAATTATTTAATGTTACTTTTGAAATATGAGGCTTGTGCATTGATATATTAAATATTTATTTAGATTTTAATAATAAAGTCTTACAGCAACACAAATACTTTGAAAATGTTACACTGAATCAACAAAAACAAAAAAATAGTAAAGATATATTGTTGCGGTCTACACAATCACAGTGAACACTACTTACCACATTTGGGAAGTTTACTTTAAAAAGTAACTAGTTATAGTCACTACTTGCTTATACAAAAAAGTTACTAAATAACACCAACTTTCCCCCAAGCCGCAAAAACAGTTTAAATCTGGGAAGAAGTAGCATATTGTGACATCAGGAACAGCTCACTGACGTGTGTTCACCCGGGTCAAACGAGTCAGCAAGTGAACCGATTACAATCCCCTCGGCTTTGATCTGCATGCTGTGGTGATATTCTGCTTTGTTTACATTCGATAAACATGTCGCAGCGCTGATAAGAGGGATTCAGAGAGATAAAAGAGCGAAACAATAAAGCACAGTGACTACTCCCTGGCTTCCTTCCATGTTGCTCTCCATTGTTTACTTTCCTGATTTCTGACGCACTGGTGGCATAATCCACACCAACTTAGATTGATAATGTCACCAGGGAATGCAGCTTGCAGTCGGGGTTAGATCTAGCTTTTTATGCCATTAGGAAGGGAGCCAAATGCTGATTGTTAGCGTGTCAATCCATGTTTAAAAAACCCGGGTTATCCGGCTATTTTCAATTCAGTTCAATTCAGTTTATTTATAATTCACAACACATGTCATCTCAAGGCACTGTACAGTTCAACGGATTATCCAGTCAAATTGATTAAAATTTTCTACTTAAGGAAAACCAGTTGATTGCACCAACTCACACAGCATACTTGTTGCAACAGTGGGGAGGAAAAACATCCTTTTAACAGGAAGAAAACCTCCAGCAGAACCAGGATCAGTGTGAGCGGCAATCTGCCGAGGCCGACTGGGGTTCAAGGAGACAGAAGCAAAGATACAAAAGGCAACTGTAAAAGGCGGCCCCAAAGCCAGGCCGACGAGCTCCGAGCCAGCTCCCATGTCAGAGGATGAAGAGAGCACATCCAGTTAGTCACAGTCAGAGAAACAGGACTACACTGAAAAACAGGCCGATCTCAAAAATCTATAAACAAAGGTGTCGATGGCAGAAGCACAGCTGATATTTCTCTCCAGGATGAAGTCACAGCCAAACAGGAAGAGATGATGCGAAGCTACTATGAGAAAAAGCAGAGAGAGCAGAACGTTAGAGATTGAACTAACAGATTCTGCAGATTGGGAGAATAGAGATAGAATGAAGCAGAATGATGAAAAAGGGGTCCAGTGAGAAGGAGGTTTTAGAATACCTTTATATGCAGTAACTAAGTTAGTAACTTAGCCACTGCTCAATTAAAGAACTAACTACTAATCAAAGTGTCTACGCAGTTACTTTTTGTGATCTACATTTCAAATAATTTGAATAACTGTTCTGTTATTAAAACTGTAAATACATCAGATCCAATTTTAAAATATATATAGTAAATTTGATATTAGGAAACGAATTAGATCATCACCATTTTTGGTGTGTGGTTGGTTGTACATCTGAGCTCAAATACATTTACAGTATGTAGATGTTTTTATGATTTTTGTTTATAAATAAAGAAAAAGCAAGTTAAATGTTTTAGAATCTGAAGCTTCAACTGGACATAAAACCAGTGTGAATCTGAAAAATTATGCTTTTCAGGAATTGTAACAAAACAAAATACACTTTGCAACAGAATCAAAAAGATTTAAAACTCTTCCAGAAACAAAAGTCATTGACACAGAAAATAAAGACTAGTACGTGGGTAGCCAGTGTTGAGATGATAGGGGTACTGTAGCAAATACAGGACCAGAGGGTTGTCGGTTCAAGTCCAGCCAGGTTCGACTAGACGCTTGGGTAAGACACTTCACCTGCATTAGTGGTCAGAGGGACTGGTGACGCTAGAGCATGGCAGCCTCACTTCAACGATTGAATTTATTCTGACTTGATATAAAATAAAATAAATGTTGGTTGGAATACGCAGCACTAGAGCTCAAATTCTTATTAAATAAGATATAATTTTTTTCCGTTAATACACAACATGAGTAAATCACAGGAACATTTATCATTTGTCTTTAGATAGTGATTTTCTTTAGGAACGCTGTCTTTGAATCAGTGGCTCTGCACCATCGTCCCACCTCTTAGTCTGTTTTCATGGCAGCCTGAACAACAGCAAACATTGCAGCAGGTCTATCTATTTTAAACTTCCTCAACCAACACCCCTCATGTTGCTCCCTGTTGTTGGTTTCTGCAGCAAAACTTTCTTCTCACTGCACAGAAAGGGGCCTATAGAAAGTCGCTTTGACTGATTGAGTTTTAGTGACATAATGCAGTTACCAAGATGCTCTAATAATTAGTTAATAATTGGCCTAGTTTTTCTATGACTGACTAACAACATTAGTTATTCCCTGCACTACTAGTGTATCCAAGCATTCTATTAGAAAGTTCAATGTACTGAAATACATTGGCAGAAAAGCAGTAGGGGCATCTAAACCTTAAGAGAAATGCAAAGGAAAATCTAGTCAAGAGTTTGGGGGAGATTCCCAAAGGTTCAACGCTCCTAGAGCTTCCACAAACGTTTGACCTTGGACAGTCCTAATGTTAGGACCTTCTTACCTGAGCTAGGACTGTTGTTTAGTTGCACTTGACAATTTGAATTTGATAGGGTTTTTTTTTATTTATTTGCTTGACGCCAAACATTTATTGACTGGATTTGTTCAGAGGTTGGATACAGGTGTTCCTGCTGTAAGTCATTTTGTAAAGATTACCTTACTTATAAGCAGGCATTTATGTAAAATATGAATTGATACCATCCAAGCTGCGTGTAAATTTCAGAAGGCACATGTTGCATTGTTTTGCTGCTTCACTTTATAAAGTATCTCAGTATGTGGGACCCCCTCGACTTGGGACCCCCTCGAAAACGAGATGGATCATCTCAAGGGGCTATCCCTTGAGATGATCACATGTTGCATTGTTTTGCTGCTTCACTTTATAAAGTATCTCAGTATGTGGGACCCCCTCGACTTGGGACCCCCTCGAAAACGAGATGGATCATCTCAAGGGGCTATCCCTTAATAAAAGAATTGAATTGAATGTACATTTTCTTTATTTCTGCATGACCATCAGTTGGCCATTGGAAGGGATTTATCCCCTGTAAACACTCACACACAGACACACATATTATGGATGGATTTTTATATGAGACTGCGCACATTATGTCACTGGTCAAAGTTAAACCAGCCCTTGATCTTTTGCCTCTGGCTGCAATCACTCTGAAAATGCTGGGGATATGTAAGCAGCAAGAGCCTTATTTTGATTATAATCTCAGCCTGGACTATGCTCACAGGAAGGTTGGACCATAATTTGCCATTTGTAATGGATAACATTTTATGATGAGATTTTCTGATGGGGAGGAGCAATGGGTTTAATTTGATATACAGCATGAAATGGGGGTGGGGGGGAGGGGGTTTGAGTGAAGCAAAGACAAAAAAAATGGGTCTTTTGTGGTGTGGTGAAGAAATGCAGAACAGACGAAGAGCTGGTGGATGGAGGCTCTCAATTCTCACCCAAGGAGCCTCAAACGCAACGAGATTATGAAGATTTGACATATCTGCTGGGAAGCAAAAAACAGTGGCTACATATTCCAAGCCAGGATTAGTCGCCTTTCCATTTCAGCTCCTTTGCCCTGGCCTCAAACATGAGGCTAGAGCGCGGGCGGCGAGCTTCCCTGGCAATTACCCTCAACTTTGTGGCTTTGGCTTTTGCCGTGTCAGCTGTCACCACCAGCTACTGGTGTGAGGGGACCAGGAAGGTGCCCAAACCCTTCTGCTCAGGACCGCCTATGAAAATGAAACAGTCGTACTGCATCCGCTTCAACAGTTCAAACCTCAACGACAGCCGGCAGGTGCAATATATCTTTGAGACAGGAGAGGAAAAGTTTATTCTGAGGAAGTTCCATACTGGAATATTTTTCTCCTGTGAGCAGGCTGCTGATATGAACGGTAAGAATCCCAGACTTTCAGTCACTGACAGATTGATGATGGAGGACTCAGCAAAATAATCCATAACATATGTCCGTGTTTCCCAGCCCTGATCCCTGGGAACCACAGCTCTGTGGATTTCCAGTGCTTTACTGTAGTGAATAGATTTTGTTGGGTTATTGACCAATTTCCTGTGAATAAAACCACAGCATCGTGCATTAATGGGAAAACTATTTTCATAAACTATAAATGGACAAAGAATTGTTAAATCTCACTTGAGATTAATTGTTTACCGCTTCCTGAAACCTCTTTATTTAAACTTTATTTCCATTTACTTTAGCTCTGATACCAATTTGGTCAAGTAAAACACAAATTCAGTTGTGATTTTTTTAAGCAAACAATAATTCATTGATACTATCTATGGATGTTTTAAAACCAAATTTCTTACAGCAGAAGTGTTTTAAAGTGATGGTTCCCAAAGCAGGCATAAAATGCCCTCTGGAGGGTATAAACTCATCCATCATTGAAGCAGTGGAGAGCATTATTGTATCTAGAAGGGTGAAATGATCAATAACAATTATTCCTAGGTTTATCACCATCCATTCTTATTTATAAATCACTTAAAAAAACAAAGACAGATAGCAAAGTTCTTTACAAAGTCTAAATGGATTTAAAATAACACCAACACAAAAAATTTATAAATTAATAAATACAAAAATATAAAAGAAAAATTGGACCAACCTAAAACCATCCACCTCAATGAGTTTTACTGACCTGAAAAGAAAAGAAAAAAATGCTTTCAAAAGAAACGTAAAAAGTCCACAGATGAGGCAGTATAAATGAATGACCCAATGCAATTACCTGTTTTTGTCCATCATATGTTAGTTCCGGCGCATAGATTTTCCCCTTAAGCAAATGCATTGCAAGCAACTGTTTACCTCCATCAATATTGAAAAATAAATGGCCTTATTTAATCAACTATTTATGTCGGCAACATGCTAGACTAGTGGGAGGGATTGCTGCAATGTAAATGACATGGTGCAATCAGCTGTTAAGGTCTTCCTGATGGTAGTTCAGCGGGAAGAATTGCTGCATAATATTGTTTACACCTACCACATGGGGTACGTGTTAACATGGTAGTCAAGTGGTAGGGATTGCTGCATGCCAAACTACTCAGTGCATTGAACTGCTTATATCTCTTTAGGGGCAGAGAATAGTGCCATCTAGATAACTTAATTCTATACATTGTTAATCTTCATCACATTACAGTTAAGTGGTGTTATGAAATTAACCTTTACACATGTTACCAATTTATAACACTTTTATAATTGAAGTAAATCAATTGTCCGTTTACTGCATTGTGTCATTGCATGGTGTAAGCAGTTTGATGCAGTGAGGAATTCTCTGATCTTTATAGTGGAGAAACCAAACAACCTCTCACACAGACCCATGGCCCAACAAAGACAAGCTACCTCCTATGGACAAGACTTGGCGGTACATCTGCACCTTATGATTAAAGGACCTTCTTTTGAGGACTGGCATGTTTACATTTTGGACAAAGAAGACAGGTGGTTTGAAAGGGGTGTGAAGGAAGCCATTTATGTTAAGAGAGAAAAAACAACCTTAAACAGAGGGGTTGGACTCAGGTTTCAGCTCTCAAAACCCTACAACACAGAAATAGAGTAGAGTTCTTCCCACTATCATCCCAAACCCCACCCCCAGGCAGTGGACTAAAACATTTAGCCTGGGCAGCCAGGCCAACAATGACCCTAATGACCTCCTTTTTAGCAGCACAGACCAGTATCAGCTATTGCAGGTTATCAAATAGCCCAAACAACTCTCCATTCCAAGGTGCCAGACCCATTCTTTTTTTGTTCAATTTGCATGTTTTCTAAAACAAGTTTTTTTGTGCAACTCTATAAAGCTTCGAACTCAATGCTAATTCAGACCTTTTGAATTGAAAAAGATTCCTGGATGGGTGCCTTTCTTTCTTCTATGAAATCAGAGGGGATGTTTGATGGTTTGGGAACCCTACATTTTTATAGTTTTCTGTGTGCTTGATGGAGAGAATGTTTACATGCTTAGCTTTTTAAAAAGCCAGCACTTTATCTACTGTATTCCATATCTCACATGTCATTGATTCTGCAATGAAAAATGATAGCATGCATGCAGCAAAGGGGGCAATCTAATAGAGGAAGAAATGAAAGGACAGATCAGAATCAAAGGATTAGTGCTCAAAAACAACAGCAGGTAGTCCAATAAAATCATGCAGCCTTTAGTTCTCGATCTAAAGCCAAATCTCTTCAAGCAGAACATAAAGTCAAAAACGATCACTGTCTTATTTTTCTTCCAGGAAATAATTTCAGAGTCAGCCTGAAATCAATGCAATGAGTATTTCAAGTTAACAAATAATGTACTGAATTATTATAAAAGGTTATATGGAAGTATATTTGTGAAAGAACAAAGTGAGAGGAAGTTTAACAAGTATGCTAATGCTACTTGATTCTGGTTTTGTTCTATTTCTATTTTTGGAGCTTAACAACAGTAAAACTGATGTCACTACATGCAGTATCAGCCACAATTTTATAGTTTCAGAAAATCAAAATTTTAGTTGAATTTTAAGGTATCAGCTGCATCTCTGAGATCATGCCACATCATCTCAAACTGATTTATAGCTGCATCTTACTAGGATTCCCCAAAGCTGAATTGTCTTTTTGACTTTTGAGATGGAGTTGCTTTTTTCCTCTCGCATCAGGGTCATCAGTGCAAGAAGAATGAACCTGAGCGAAAGACCGGCAACCTTTGGCCAAACATTTACCTATAGGTTAGGAGTTTCTTAACAGGGCAGAAGATGCATTTCTATGAATGGTAATAACCTGTCCAGGTCTGAAGAAGCAACTACCTTTTCTGACCAAATGTCGTGCGTTAACATTTTTGTGATGTTAGTTTTATGCCAGTCAGTTTAAAAACAAATTCCTTTCACCTCCATAATGTGATATTATCCCCACAGATGCGTCTTGTCAATGTGCAACAGGTTTTGGCCCCCAAGCTGCAGAAAGGGTTGCATTTATGCCCATTTTTGTTCCACGATTGAATCATGAGCATTATCTCTAATTTAAACTATTACCAAGTAATGGGTCCTACTGCAAAATAGACCACAGACCCTTTTTAATTTGATTGTAATTTTCTTTTAGGGTAAAATATGCAAAGGTTAAATATAGTGTCCTTTAAATCAGGCTTGTCCAAAGCTGTCTCTGAGGGCCACTGTCCAGTGTTCCCAGGTGAGAAATGTAGGATTATCCTACCAGAGACGTAAAATTACCATATCTTGAGGGAGATTACCGTACAATTGCCATAACCAAAATAAGTTTATCGATATAGTGTCATCACTATGGTGTTGAGTAGTGTCTAACAGGCACTCATAGCTTTGTGGCATTAGTACTAAATGGATTCATCAATAGCCCCCCTGTTGCGTTAGGGTAATGTGCGTCCAATAAAAAATCCTTCTACAATGTTTGTTAGTATGAAACCTTCAAATATATATACTGATGTAAATATATATATGTGGACATGAGACATTAGGGGTATCTTATCTTTAACAGGTTGAAAGAATTAAATGTGAATAAAGCAGCCATACTGCATGAGTAGAATGCAGAGGTGTCTAAATTAGAATCAGAATCAGAAATAGTTTAATAATCCCAGAGGGAAATTACTTTAAATTAATAATGTTTATTACTCAAGTAGAAGTATAAATTAGTGTTGCACCGATACCAGTATTGGACGGGACCCCGATCCAGCACTAAAATGGTGATATAGGTGAGTACCAGCAAATAGGGCAACGATACCATTTTAGAGCCAAAATTTTATTCAACTATTGTCACCCATTCCAGGTAGGCAATAAAAAGTTGTACTGGATTTACTATTTATTAGTCTTTTTCCTGCGTCACAAAGGTAGGCAATAGCATGACAAAGCCATGATGGAAATTATTTTACATCCAAGTAGTATGCAGTTCTTCATATATACACACACACACATCAATTTCAAACAGATGTTATCGGTATGGTATTGGCCAATTCTGCACAGCCAGGTATCGGTTATTGGTATTGGGGCCAAAAACTGGCATCGGTGCAACAGTAGTATAAACCCTAATGTTTAAAAACACTAAGCTAGAGTGTCAACTTAAGCCTTTTACTCAAGTAAAAGTATAAAATTACAATTTTAAGGCTAATTAAAGTATAAAAGTAAAAGTCATGCAGAAAAAAATGTTAGGGACAGAAGCTTCACTGCACTACCCTATAAAAGGATTATTTTTTACCATTCTGGATAATTTCCTTAGACTTAATTATCCTAGTTTTATAGCTAATGGTAACAGTGTCAAATTAACTTTGCATCATCTTGAAAAACTTTGGTAAACAACAAAAGAGAACAAAAGAGTCCAACCACAAAGAAATTAATTGTCTGGATGAAAAACAAACATTTTGATGATCTTTATCTTTTTTAAATACCAACATAACAACAATGAGCTTAAATGAAACAAAAATATTGAGGATATTTTTTAAATGTGAGGAGTACAAAGTAGAGATAACTGTAAAAAAAATGTTAGGAATAGAAGTAAAAAGTTGTCTAAAAATAATTAGTCCAGTAAAGTATAACATTTTTACTTAAGTAAGGAAATGAAGTATTGGTACCGTGTTACTTGACACCTCTGGTAGATTCTTCCCTTGTCCATGTGTGTTTTTTATATATTTTTTGCTTCAGCTAACACCTCTGTGTTGCAGAAAGCTTTGCTCTTTGAACCAGCAACAGGTCACAGCCATACAAATAGACTCTCCCCTCTTTTTTATAAGTCTTTGGGCGGAGCTGCTTACTTTGGTCCTGCCCTGCCACCTTCTTAAACTTTCCTCCTTCTCCCCGTTCTGTTTGTCCAAGAAAGCTGATGGCAACCAATTACCACACATTCATTATCATACATGTGGCCTTTTTTGGGTTTATTGAACGTACATCGTACGGAGGGCAAAATTGTCGTACAAATATGATAAATATCGTACGTCTGACAGGACTGCAGCTGTCTTGCGGCTTTTATAGGTTTTCCTGTTTTAGCACAGCTGATTTTCACTGATGGCTGATTAAGAGGCTTTTGCTGAACTTTAAAGATATTGTGGAGGTTTTTCCCGATTTTTTTAAAAGACCCACATTCTCCACTTTAAAAAAGAAAAACATGCATGCACGAGCGTGCATGAGCCCATTTCTCCTAGTGCACGCTCTGTTTAAAAATTGCTGTTATCATAGCTCATTCAAGCTTATTGAGTCAGAACGTCCGCTCTAACCCCTAAATCCCTCAATCACTATATAGAGCAATTGCTATATAGTGGACTTTACTGAACTTAGTCAACTTACCGTTCCAACAGATGATCACTTCCCCGTTGGTCCACTGCGCCGTACCTGCACGATCTTTGTTATTAGTTGCCGTCGGGTAGCAACAGCTTATTGCGACAGTGGTATGGGACAGCCAAATCCCATAATGCTTTGCACGGAGAGCTCTCCGCGCAAAGCATTCTGGCATATATCTGCCTCTTCTGACGCCTTTCTTTTCTTCTCATACACTTTGTCGACACTTTTCCTTTTATGACCCTCAGCCATTTTTAGAAAACTGAGGTGAGAAAAGTGAAGTTCAATGACTGTCTGAAACCGTAGCTCCATATATATATATATATATATATATATATATATATATATATATATATATATATATATATATATATATATACACACTTGAAATTGCACATGCGCCTAAAAAGATAGCTAACAGGACGAGCACGTAGAACGGTCTTATGTAAACATAACAAGCTGAGAAACATTCAAAACGTGAACGAAAACACTCCTCAAGAATTGACTTTAGACATACCTGTTTAAAGATACATAATCATATTATTTGGCTCAACAGAAAAGACCACAATCCAGTTGATTATTTATGATAAAATAAGGTATTAATAAGGTATAATTTGGACATATAATTCAAACTTCCATACTGATAGTGATTTGATTTTCCTTTTTGAGCCTTAAAGGAATAGTACACCCAAAACAGGATTAGCCTTCATTTTCTACTCACCCCCATGCTGAACAACACTCTGGAGTACTTTTTTGATATCTCAAATGCATCTGGAGATCTGGGAGGCTTCTTGCTGTCTGCTGACATTCAAATAATGGAGGTCTATGGCGCCCGAGGCAGAAAGGTCCATAAAAGTCCACAAAAAACGTGTCAATATTCCTCCATACTGCTCGTCCAATGTATTCCAAGTGTCCTGAGTGGGAAGCGTCCATAATTAACTCGAAACGAAGTCATTTAGAATGTTTTTAGAGCATAAACAGTAGTGTATAGGATTTCCTGAAAGCGCGTTCACGAGTCTACGGAAACCGCGGCAGACCAAACCAGATGAAAGTGCGCATTCAGCTCAGCAAAGAACTCATGCTCTTCCTCAACACTGAAGTCCTCGGACATTTTTCTTTCGTTGTTTCTTTCTTTGCACAGGTAAACAGCACATTTCTTCTTCTACGCTTGCATTATTGGCAGAGCAGACGCTGAATGCGCACTTTCATCTGGTTTGGTCTGCCGGCTTCCGTAGCGTCGTGAACGCGCTTTCAGGAAATCCTATACACTACTGTTTATGCTCTAAAAACATTCTAAATGACTTCGTTTCGAGTAAATTCTGGATGCTACCCACTCAGGACACTTGGATTACATTGGACGAGCAGTATGGAGGAATATTGAAACGTTTTTTTGTGGACTTTTATGGACCTTTCTGTCTCGGGCGCCATAGACCTCCATTATTTGAATGTCAGCAGACAGCAAGAAGCCTCCCAGATCTCCAGATGCATTTGAGATATCAAAAAAGTACTCCAGAGTGTTGTTCAGCATGGGGGTGAGTAGAAAATGAAGGCTAATCATGTTTTGGGTGTACTATTCCTTTAATAGAACTCCCAACTATGACAGAAGACATTTAAAAGTCTAAATAATGTTTCTCAGTAAAGCATCAGGTCAAATTATAGATTCATAGTCTTTTTTTAGCTACGTATATCCCGTATATCCTTGCAGGCTTTCTAAGGTCTAATCTTATTAGACCATAGAAAGCCTGTCATTTTAAGAAAATATGTAAACAATTTCCTTTATTTATGCATGTTTTGTTTTTAGGAATACCTTTAGCAAGAATTTTACTTATCCTAAAAAGTAAATTATTTATTAGCAAATTAAAGATTCTTTTCTGATGATTACAGCAAATTATCTGCAAATCATCTGCCTGAAATAATCTGTTAAGTTTGAACAGTATATTTTATTTATTTATTTATTAAGTTTATTTTTATTTTACAGGATTTGACTGTCGAAGCTTTGCTGAGATTGCACCTGAACATCATAGAGGTTGGTCAATTCATGATAATGTGAATGGTAATTTTTGTTTTTCTTTTAAATTACTGATCAGTTGTTCGTGTTTCCTTGGACAGGAAAACTCACCCACATTGCCCTCTTATGGTCAGAGGGCCATTTTTGCCTAAATATAGTAACACCTCACTTCTGACATCTTCCGGCAGTGACATCAAAGTGCAGTAAGCCGAAGGCAATTCTGTCGCTTTACAAGCAAAATCAATGGAAACTACTAGACACATCTGCAATCAACAACAATTATTTAAGTTTTTGAGAGAATTGAAATTCATGATGGCTATAGTTAAACTGACAATGACGACGTACCGTACATGGCAGTTGGATGTTGCTATCTTGTAAAAGTGAAAAAAATGTTTAGTTATTTCACCTCTCCAAGTCATCATCCTCGATGGACGGGTTCATTGTTGGATTGCCAACGAGAAGAAGGAGGATTTGCCAACAAACTTCTGGCCAGTGACAAAAAATAATTAATCTGTTACTCTCTGCTTCGCATAGTGCACTTGTCATCGCCATCATGGATAATAGCGCATTATGACAAACTCCAGATACAGCACTGGGACTTGATCAACAGCCGATACCGCACCGTGACGTCACAAACCGATAGGTGGCAGTAGTGTTCTTTGACAAACATGGATGTGTCCAATAAAGCACATTCAAATGAAATTACCCTTTTTTAAAAACACTTAAAGCTACAGTGTGTAATTTTCAGCGACATCTAGCGGTCAGACTGCAGACCGCAGCAACATGAACATCTCCCCCCCACCGCTTCTCCCCCCCAACAGTACGGCGAGCATTACGGGACAAAATGTCTTCCACGACGTCCGCATCACCTACCTTCTCAAGTGATGAGGCTTGTTTACATAGATAATTTTAATACTGCCATCTATTGTTCAGTACCGTCTCAGTTCATCTCTCTCAACTTGCCGTAGTTACTTTCGAGCGTAATGGGAGATCTCGCAATCGCTAGATTTGTTGGCTCTGCGCTGCCGTAACGCAAAGATGTCTGCCTCCATGGCTGCAAGACCCGCTCCTATGTAATTATAAATAACAAATTCTAAGGCAACGCAAATATTAAGGTTAAGAGGCTGAGCTCGTAGATGATGATAAATAACATAGTTATGTATAATATATTACATTTCTGACTGTATATCCCTGTAATTATTACACCCTGTAGCTTTAATTATTGAAAAAGTATGTAATAATTTCATACTTAAAGTACTTTCAGAAGTTTGTATTCTTAATTTGACCACACTTTTCCTTTAAAAGTATGTTTTATTATGTCATTTTCCATAATTAATATTCCATAGAAGAAACTCCAAACTTACACTTCTTTAACTTTTTCTCTCTATACTTAGTCCAACATAAAAAAAAAAAATTCTGTTGGTTGTTTAAAATGGAAGAAGAATGCAGAAGAAAAAAAGATTGAGCCTTGAATTATGAGGTGGAATGAAAAAAAAGAGAAACGTACATACTTAAGCTAAAGGGTCAGCAACACACATTGACCTTTAGCCTAATCCTCATAGAAAGGTTTTAATGACGTGTGCTGGACATCAACTCATCATTCTTCCACATATAATTTTCAGGAAACTAAAGCTTATATTTTCCATTAGCCGTAAGCCATCCTCTTCAAGATTAACTAAATGAATAACGTGTGTGTTATGAATCTGTAATTTTTTTACTTCTTAAACTTTACTAAAGTAAATTAACCTGCAATGATCATTTGTAATTTACTGAGCTATATTTTTTTATTTCTTCAAGGTTTGCAGATTCAAAAAGTAGATAGAAATCAAGGGCGTAGGTTTGATTTGAACTTCGGTAGGGACACTATCAGTCGGGTGTCATTGGTGCTATGCAATATGCATGCCCTTTTTTATGCACGGTGTGAGGATCCGTACTGATAAGAGGAATTCATTGTTAAAAGAGAAAAGCATCATTTTGGTACATTAATAAAAATTGTATAATCACTACACTCATTAGATGCTGTTTATTAATGTTTGAAGTATCACAGGCTCTGATCAATGTGGAATTAGGACTGTTTTCCACTTTGAAAATGGTTTCATTTGAACGACTAAGAGAGAAGGTAAATACAGTATTTTCTTCTGAAGATATAGAATTGTGCAGAGTTAAACCCCACTCTTATATTTTTACCTACTATTCTCTCTCTGTATCAAGCAAAATAATACATTCATTAAAATATTAACTTCACCATAAAAGTGGAACATCTGGGCTGTAGTTACTCTGTATAGCCCATTTCAGGTATTTTATCTGGGACTGAAAAAATGAATCATATTAATTGATTATTTCAATAATTGTCAACTAATTTAGTGAGTGATTCATCATTAACTGGAGAAAAGACTCTAAAACATAATAAAAATGTAAAATATGCCTTTCTCCGACAGAGCAACCCACTTAGATCAGTAATTATACCAAAATTTTAAAAATAAAACATATATATAATATATAAGATTAAAATAAAATGTTTTTGTCTGTCAATATTCTTCATCCAGAACTCCTCATGTGGAAATATTTTAGTATCACCTGGTTTATTTAGACATCACCTGAAGCACTGAAGGGCAGCTGCTTCACCTACAAGCTGGCCTGCATTATTATTACTGGATATCTGTGTTTCCTATAATCATATAATGTATAAGTGCATTTTTAATAGTAAAGGATTAAATGTAACACAATCTTTTATCACCATCCTATATTGCTTACTGTCTGACTGTTTAAATAGCTCCTTATGTCTATTTTCTTTTTTAGTGGCATCATCTACAAACACAACACTGAGAATGAGCCTAAGTGTATTCAAATATAAAATCACTTTTAACAATTATAAAAGACATTATAACACTATCTTATCTGTAATTTAATAATATCCCAAATAAATAGCCAGATTCAAGCATTTTTACCAGACATTAATGTTTGTACTAATTTACTTATAGACTGTGTGGGAATCTATGTAAGATAAAATCAATGTTAATATTCTTCCTCTGTTTGTTCTTGTCTTTATCCTATTTCTAGAAGTATAAATAGTCAATTCAATTATTATTATTTTGTGGAACCCTAATTATGCTTTTTAAAGAAAAAATAGCAGATGTTTAGGCACCATTTCTTGTTGTTATAGGCTACTCTATAGAAGAAAAACACCTGCTAATAATTATACCTGAAAGAGTCATCAAAAAAATGAAAACAGTAATAGCAACTAAATATCGGTAAAAAGGAAACCCTCACATTTTCTTTTTTAGGTGGCTGTGGCTAAGAATCAGAAATGTTGATGCTTACAGCCTTTATTTGCCCATTTTTCCAGCAGTCTTCAGAACTCCTGGCTGACTCAGAATATTTCGTTTTATAAAAGAAAAAAAAGGTTTTTGTTTTTTAGTGCACATGATATTTCTTTTTTTTTTTTTTTAACTGGGACTAGTTTTGCAGCCTAATATTAATGGGCTCTATGCACAGCTCCACTACTTCCTGAATTTAAAGCAGCTCCTTTGTTTCCTGTCTTTCATGATTGGATGCACTGATTAATCCAGGTGTGTATGACCTAAGTAACTGGCCAGACACACCTGGATTAATCATTTCGTCCAGTAATGAAAGACAGGAAACAAAGGAGCTGCTTTAAATTCAGGAAGTAGTGGAGCTGTGCATAGAGCCCATTGCAGTAACCGCGGCATTTTAGTGTGAATAAATGTTCAATTTTGTGCTCCAAGCACGGACGGACTAGAAAACAGCCTATCAAGGAGAGAGAAGGCGGGACCTAAGGCAGAACAACCAATGAGAGTGGAGTTAAACAGCGCAGCACAGTTCCATGCGCTGCTACATGAAAGGGACAGGAGAGACCAGGCAGAGGAGCTGCGAGAGGAAAAGAAGCCACTGCTGCAACAACTACTGCTGTAAATTATAAACATGTTGCTCACATCCAATTATTGGTAGGGACAATTAGGTCGGTTCAAAACTTTGGTAGGGACATGTCCATATGGTCCCTATGCAAACCTACGCCCATGATAGAAATGCTAAAACTGTCTCAAGGAGTCTCTCATTAATTTTTCCCAGATTTTAACAATTCAATTCAGTTTTCAATTCAGTTTATTTCTATGGCGCCAAATTCACAACACATGTCATCTCAAGGCACTTTACAGTTCAACCAGATCATCCGGTCAAATCGATTCAAAGTTTTCTATCTAAGGAAAACCAGTTGATTGCATCGACTGATTGACTAGAAGGCAGTCGCTCACAGTCGCTCACGCATGCCTGTAGCGACAGTGGAGAGGAAAAACTCCCTTTTAACAGGAAGAAAACCTCCAGCACAACCAAGCTCAGAGTGAGCGGCCATCTGCTGAGGCCCACTGGGGTTCAAGGAGACAGAAGCAGAGATACAAAAAGCAGCTGTAAAAGGCGGCCGCGTCCAGGAAACACACAGCCAGGCAGACGAGCTCCAAGGCAGCTCCCATGTTAGAGGATGAAGAGAGCACATCCAGCCAGTCACGGTCAGAGAAACAGGACTACACTGGAAAACAGGCCAATCTCCAGCATCTATAAACAACGGTGTTGATGGCAGCGTTGAACAGAACATGCCTGTTGGACAATTGGGATTTTCCATTAGTGTCAAGCTAAAATAAGGGCTGCAACAGGTGATATTTTTTCTGTGTTCCCAGGTGTGCTGTGGCTGTGTGTCGTTGCAGAGAGTCTGTACCTCGGTCTGCTCTTCATAGGCGGAGTTCTCCTGATTATGGAGCAGGGTTCCTGCTTCAGCGTCATGAACAAGTTAAAACTCAGTGCCTTCGCCGCCATGTGCACTGCTCTTTCAGGTAAAAGCAAAACAATCTAATAAGTGACAGATCTATGAAGGTGGTGGGGATGGGGGGAGTTTCTTCCAAAAGGAAACTTTGGCATCAACAGGCAGCTTATTAATGTCTTTGTTCTTTTATATCCTGATTTCTGTGCGAATTGGACATTTTAGAGGTTCGCTTATGTCAATGCAACGGGATTTACCGTAATGTTATTAAAGAAGCAGTGCAGCAGCTCAGTGTGGTTGAATATGATGAGACTGACAGTCAAGCATCAGAAAAGCTAACTGATCTGTGGCCACTCGCTGCCTAGGAGGATTTACTGGTTTGTAGAGTAATCGGATTGGAACCGGGGCAGCGGGTTTGGACTGTGCCAAGATCCGCCCAAATGACCTCCCTCCCGCCCCCTCTGACCCCCATCCCTGCCCCCACTCCCACACACAGTGCCGTACTCCTGAATCCCATGCTATCCAATCCCCCCTGTTGTTCTGTGTTAATCCCAGAAAAAGCAGCAGCAGAGACTGAGTGAGAGTCGGAATGATGTAGAGTTCCCTCACCCCTCCGTTGTTATAATTCACATGGTTCCTCCTAAATCTGGAAAACTCTGAGAATTTCCCAGATTTAGGTACTTTCCAGCTGTGGATGATGATTAAAAAACTGTTAAAACTGTGGAAACATGCGTGTGTTTAAAGAGTAGACGAGTTCATCTGTCAACCTGTCTTTAAACCCACACAGCTGTTTGTCCCTCCTTCCGTCTCTCCATCCATCCATCCATCCATCCATCCATCCATCCATCCATCCATCCATCCATCCATCCATCCATCCATCCATGTACATTATAAGCTCTTATTTCTGTCCTCTGACCTTGCTCCTTCCTTCCTTCCTTCCTTCCTTCCTTCCTTCCTTCCTTCCTTCCTTCCTTCCTTCCTTCCTTCCTTCCTTCCTTCCTTCCTTCCTTCCTTCCTTCCTTCCTTCCTTCCTTCCTTCCTTCCTTATTTCATTGGTTTGTTCCTTCTTACCTTTGTTCCTATATTTGTTCCTTCCTGTTTTCCTTCCTTTGAACTCCATACTCGCTGAAATATGCTATAACAAAAATACAAATCTGGACATTTGAATTTTACTTCTGGTCAAGAAGAAAAAAATTAATAATAGTTGAATCAGTCTGCAGCATCTGGATTTTTTTACATGAACATATCTTGCTTTAGTTGAAGCACTGTTTTAAGCCTTACAGTAAAAAAAAAAAAAAACATAAACCATATAGTTTTTACAGGTTGGACAAAATCCAGGATCTACTCCCATAACCTCAGGGGGATTTTAGTTATGAGAAATTGTGCTTTTTTTCTTCAATAATAATTACATTTCACAGCTAAATTATTACTACAAATGCACAGCACATCCCAGATTTTTATTTCCTCATACACTACAATGAATGCTCTACTTTGTGCTGTTCAGATAAAAATAAAAATAAATACATTGTGGTTTGTGGGTGTAATAATCGCAAAATGTGAAAATTTAGAGGGAAAAATATGCAAATGAGTTTGTTCTGGGCTATATAACCTTTACCACATAATTCTCCTTCCTGGAATTTGATGAATCTGTGAGTATGGGCCCATATGCTCTTTTTTTTCAGGCCTTTGTGGGATGTTAGCCCACATGATGTTCACCACCATATTCCATCTTGCTGTCGCTATCGGACCTGAAGACTGGAGGCCCAAGACTTGGGACTACAGCTGGTCTTATGCGTAAGCAAATCCTAAATCTTTCAAAGAAAACATTTTGGTTACTTAATGCAACCAGAATATATCATTTTATAAAGACAGAAACAGTAACACCGGAGTGTTAGTTTTGTTATTACAATTGAAATAAAACAGAACTTTACTTTAGAAGCTGAACCTGATAAGGACTAAAATTTTTATTCCAAAACAATATATTAAATTATAAATAATTTATTTTAACTCTAAATAATTATTCATGCTGGTCTAACTCCTAATGTGTAGTCCTTTGTCTTTCTTCTTCCAGCTTAGCCTGGTGCTCTTTTGGCACCTGCATGGGCTCTGCAGTGACAACCCTGAACAGGTACACAAAGACCATCATAGAGTTTAAATACAAGAGGCACAGCATTGAGAAGAACCTGATGATCAAGCAGAAGATGGTGGAGCTGGGTCTGCCTGAGCAGATGTGGGACATGTACTTGACTGCTGTTCCGGGTGAGGCGGAGGTACCACCAGAACCCTTGGTAAATGGCCACAAGCCTTCGACGGGAACGCCGTATGTGTTTGAAGAAATGGATCAACCACCAGAACAACAAGTGGAGGCATACTGTTAAAAACACTGCATGAAAAAGAAAGAGGATATTGACTCTTTTTGTTCTCTGCTTCAAAGCTCATTTGTATCTGCAAGATTACAACTAAGACAGCACCCTTCTGCATGAACTTGAGTGGAATTTGCAGGTTTTTGTCCAAGATGCATTAAAACTGTAATTTGCTGCAGATGCACTGGGATGAACAGCGGTTCTAAGATTTATGAACTAAACAATCTGTGGTGTGTCAAGGTTGCATCGCTGAAATGGAGCAGGACACAAATAAGCAAAACTGTCTCTACAGCATTTCCTGAATGCTGATGGAGTTAAATGGCTGGAAACAGGCAAAGATGGATACACTGACCTCAAACTATTTTATTTTTCTTATTTTTCTTTTTCTTCTTTTTCTTTTTTCGGGGGGGGGGGGTCGCCTCTGTTGGAAAATGGGAATTAAAAAAATGCTAATTATGTGAGTGGCAGCTATCTTTGAAACATTCGTTGAAAAGCCTGGAAAAGTAAAGAATATTTTTTTTATATTTTACCATTAAATCTGGGACTATGGAAAAAGCTTCAGATCTAATTTCCATCCTCTGTTTTATAAAAAACTAAAACTTATTCATGATTTATAAATGGAGTCAAACAGGGACCTTTTTTACAACTGTTTGCGACTCACTCATTTTGAACTCAAGTGATAAGGTTGCATCAATGTTTTTTTAAACTGGTCAGATTGCAAGGTCCAAACAAAGCACAATGCAAACTGGGGGTTTCACTCCAGCTTTAACTCCAATGCTCATTAGACAATTCTAAACCTCATATTCTGAAACAAATCTGAATTATTTTAGTTCACATTCCAAAAGCATTAAAATGACCCCAAACTTCAACACTCAAAGCCAATTATTGGAGGCTACAGAAAAGCGTGTTTTAAAAAAAGGAAGAAAAAAGAAAAACAAAAAAGTAAAACTTCAATGAAAACTGGAAATTTAAATCAAAGGTTTTAAAAAGTATGGTCATTTTAATTGTAATCCTTAAGAGTCTAGCATTATCTCCTTACATATGATTTCCTAGAAGTTGATTTATGTTAGTTTTCCTGTTATGAATTTATTTGTTGTTGTTGTTTTTTCGCTTGTTTTAGGACTGAAGGATCCGAAAGATCAAAAAGAGGCCAAGCAACAGATGTAACAGACAGAGAGCATCACTATTTAAACCAAACTCAGGGTTTCTTATAAAAATAACATTTGTTTGAACCTTATGTGGTCTGACTGTGAGATCCTTTCACACATTTGTGTCTCTTTATGTCAGGACATAAAGAGACACAAGGACTTGACTTCATCTTCTACTGATGGCTCTCAATAAATAAAAAGAATTTCTGTTGAATGCTTGTGTTGGAAAAAAAGATTGCAAACAGAGCATAAGCAAATGTGGTCATAAGTTTACATTCACAAGGATAACCTTTTATTATGCCATATTTAAAAAATGTCAGGTGTGTGAGCAGCAAATAAGGGAACATTTTTACAACATCAGTGGATCACATCCCTGCACCTTCAGATGCGGATGGGTGGGTCTCTGACTGTTGTTTCGGGCCATAGGCCAAGCACGGGTATGAAGTACTAGGCCTTCTTAAGCCATTTTCCTACTGAAAACTCTGTTTTTTTAAATCCAGTCGTTGACCCACTAACAATCTGCTCTGGCTCTGTTCCCATTTGACCGAAAAGCCGAGTCTGACCCCCTGCTAGAAAGCTGCATGGCCACTGTCCCCCACCACTGCGTGTCTGATCATGGCATAACGCTGGGAAAGCATTGTTGATGTCAACAATGTGACAGAAATCAGAGAAGTAACTAATAGACAGCAACATGGACAGCGTCCAGAGCATAGTCATTCTATAGTATTCTTTAGTATTTGGCTCTTTTATCGGTCTGAATCCCTCTTACTAGTGCAGCGCTATGTTTATCAAATGTAAACAGAGTTCTTGCGGCTTGTTAGATCAGAGGCGACTGGCGTAGTGTGTTGACATCCGTAAATTAAGTTCAATGGTGTCACGTAACTTAGTAGGTCAACCCGGGACTAAAGTTCACACAGCACACGAGTCAGAGCTGAGTGTCTTTTTTTTGGCCAGTGTGAAAGGGGTATTAGTGTCACTGACGTGGTAGATATCGTTATAGATCAAACCTTGCTGGGGGACTTCAAGAAACATCAGTGACAGAAACAACAGTGAAACCTGAAAAGTGTCATCAGAAAGAGAAACAGACACTCAACTCTGAACATGACACGCTAGACCAAAGGTCAATTATCTTTGTTGTCGTATATTCTGACCTTCAGTCGCATGTCTTGGGTGATGAGAGGAGTTGAGCTATCCAGAGATGAGCACCTGTTGAAGTGTTGGATATGCTTGAAGAACACAGAAAGACTTGGCAGGCCAAAGGAGTAGTGAGATCCTGCTGGGAATACCTGGTTTAGTCCTGTTTCAGGGACAAATGTAACTCCCACCTCTGAGCTTCTCCCAGATTATGTGTATGTCTGGGAACATGGAGTCACCATGTCTGGATTACGTTCTATAGCTGTGGCTATTGTCTGTGGTACCTGTTTAGCAGCAACCCCTTAATCCAGTGGAGGACACTGATAATTTTGGATGCAATCAAGCTGAATATTCAGTCCTATACAGCCTGGTTTGCTTGTGGGGCTCCTGAGGAAACGAGGAGGTAACATGAGACCAAGTCTGCCGCGGCCTAGATGGTTGCCTAAGCAAAAACTCTGGCCTGGGAGGTGTTTGGAGAGACAATCAAGAAAGACTATTAGTCAGACTCAAAAGAATTATGGTAACCTTTTCAGTGCCTCTGGAGGGGAAGCAGTGCTTTGCTAATGCTTTTTATCATTAGGAGTGGGGAGCTGCTGACCTTGACTGAGGACATTTTTGGACTGTGCAAGGAACACATTGAGGGTCTCCTCAAACTGGCTGTAATGCCTGCCCTGGTGGACGCGGAGGATGGGTGGTCAGAGCCACACTTATTTATCAAAAACAAAAAACTCCATTGAGCCAAGGATTCAGGGTTGGATTCCCTAATTACCTTTGGTCTCTAGATGTTGTTGAGCTGTTGAGGTTGACATTCCTCTACAACATTGTATGGCAGTCAGGGACAGTGCCCCTGAACTGGCAGACTGAGTTGGTGGTCCCTGTCTACAAGAAGGGAGATCGAAAGGTGTGTTTCGACTACAGGGGATAACACTTTTCAGCCTCATCAGGAAAACCTATGTCAGGGTGCTGGAGCGGAGAGCCTATGAGGCTAACTGTTGAATATTAATGCTTGGCTCCAGTAAGAGCAGTGTGCTTTTACTGGCCATGAAACCCTGGAGTGGCTCTACACCCTCAAGGTTGATTGGATTTAACCTAAACGGTCCACGTTTGCTCTGTGGGCTAGGTACCATCCAGTAGCTGAAAGCGGGGCAAGAGTCTGTTCGGTTGCCTGTATTAAGTTTTACCTGTCCGTGGTGCATGCTTACTCCTGCAGGGCTTCCCTCTTTCACTGGTCCTGTTCATAAATTTTAAGGATCATTGGCTTTCTCCTGCCAAGATCTATGGACCAGTTCGCAGCCGAGTGCGAAGTGGCCAGCAGGAAGATGAGCTCCTCCAAGTCCGAGTCCATGTGTCTTAATTGGAAAAAGGTGACTCGCCCTCTTCATGTTGGAGAAAAGTTCCTGCCTCAGCTGGAGGAGTTCGAGTCTCTTAGGGTCCTGTTCACAAGTGAGAGGAAAATGGAGCAGGAGATCAAAAACAGATCGGTGAAGTTGCTACAGCAATGCAGACGCTCCAATTGTCTGTTATGGTGAAAAGAGAGCAGAGCCAAAAAGGCTAAATTCTCATGAGTTAAAGAGAAGGATCCTGGATACTAGTGGCTAAAATGAATATCCCCCGCAGGTTGACTATTAAAAGCTTTGCCGTCCGGTAGAGGATCTGAGTGGAGGTGCTTCTCCTCCACATTGAGAGAAGTCAATTGAGGTGGTTCAGACCTCTTCTTCGGATGCCCCATGGACGCATCCCTCAGGAGGTGTTCCAGACATATCCGACCAGGAGGAGGCCCAGGGGGATGGTTGGACTATAGCCAACTAAGGAACCGAACTAACTGACTGAAGCTCTGCACAGATTTTTAGTTTTCAGAGGGTAGTGTAAGTGGTGCTCATGTCCCTCTCAGTAAGTCTCTCTCAGGTGGACTTTCTCACTTAAAAATAGATTCAAACTACTTTTTACCCACTTATCACAGCAAATATACCTGCCATTGTTACAGGCAAAGAAAGGATAGAGTAGCTCCGCCTAACGTGCTTCAGACCCACTTTTTTTTACCGCACAGCTAGAGCAGCGAAGATGCTTCAGTTCTGCGTCAGAACTAAACTTTTACAAGCATCAAAAATGAAGCAGCATGTGCACTTTGCTGCTCTTGCTGTTTTAGGTGTGAATATAGCATAACAGTGCCTAACTTCCAGCCCATTGTTCATGTGTCAGGGTACGTACACAGGGGGAGGGACAAGCAGACGACCATGATTGACGTGTCAGAAACCAATAGTGTACAACGGACCGTGTTTTGTGATTGGCAGGGGTTACTCATTGATTTCACACCAGAGCGGGGACCATTTATTTTATGCTCACTTCCAGACCTTCTATTTCCCTGCTTGCTAAGCAGCTGTGGGGAGATCTTCAAGCCACATATTAAAAAATGCATCAGAAAAGATCTCCTACAGCACCTTTCTGTCTTTAAAAAATATAAAATGTATACCTTTCACTCCTAACATAGTGAAAGGTATACCTACCACTTCAAACGCATAGACATACACATACAGATATACATCTACTCTCATGGGTTTTTCTATTCGACAAAGTATTATTCCATCCAACAAGTCTCAGAGCAGTCTTGTTTATCACAGCAGTTTGATGCAGACAAACTACTAACTTCATTCAATCATGATTACCAAGGAGAGTTAGATAAACAATATGAGTGCTCCCAATTCTTGTTTTTAAATGTAACTACAGTTGTATGTGGTGAAATCAGTCCAACATGAGGAACAACCAGCTTTAATAAATAATTGAAAGCCCCAAGTTATTATAAAATTAATATTCAAATTAGGTGACTGTTTATATATATGAACGTTCCTTGAATGCAACTGTCCTGCAGCTTAGGCATGCGTCCTGCTCCAACACACCTGAAACAAAATGCCAAATTACCTCCTTGACATGTGGGTAGGCTTACCAGAGGCCTAGACATTATCCAATCATTTGTTTCAGGTGTGTTGAAGAAGGGATGCATTGAAAAGCTGCAGGACAGTGGGACTGAGGACCAACATTGCCTACCCCTGGTTTACCTGATGTCAATGGGCTTGCTTTCTCAATAAATAAAACCCCAATTCAGAAATGTGTATGTATGTAACTACACTATGAAGATATATAGTAAAGCGCGGCTTTTAGATTCATTCAATGTGAGCTCTTCAAAAAGCTCAAAAACGGCAGAGAAAATCCTATTCACATCTGTTTACAGCATCCGGTCTCTGATCGTTTAGTTTCTCAGTTCATCTCTTTCTGATGGACCAGCTGTTGCAGTGGTACATTTAATCCCACTCGACTGCAACAATATAAGCCACAGTATGATCTTATTGTTTTATTCTAGGCTAAGGATGAGAACAAAATGATGACACAATTGAAGTTGCTTATCAACTCGTGTACAATACAGCTCATGATGTTTGGAAAGCTTGAAAAGAGTAAAGTATAGATGTCTTTTGTAATTAAAAAATAAAATACCTGCTTAAAATTCAATTAAGATTTTTTTATATTATTGATACACTGAAATTGATGAAACATTAAGGATCATAATGTGTAAAAACACAAAAGAAACATCTTTGTTTCTTCATGTCTGGGGGATATCCAACCATGCATCCATCTCTCTGTCTGTCTTTGTCTTTCATGAAGGTATTTTTTCCAGCTTTTATTGTCATTAAATTGTTACAAGTACAGAGCAACGAAATTCATCCTCTGCATTTAACCCATCCCCTTGGGAACAGTGGGCTGCCATTGTGCGGCCCCCTGGGAGCTATGCAGGGTTAAGGGTCTTTGCTCAGGGACCCAGAGTGGCAGTCGTTTAGTGTTGGATTTCCCACAGTAAAAACATATGTCTTAAATTCATGCTGAAAAAAATGACATCAAACCATTTAAGATGGATGGATGGATGATGGATGGATGGATGGATGATGGATGGATGGATGATGGATGGATGGATGGATGGATGATGGATGGATGGATGGATGGATGGATGGATGGATGGATGGATGGATGATGGATGGATGGATGGATGGATGATGGATGGATGGATGGATGGATGATGGATGGATGGATGATGGATGGATGGATGATGGATGGATGGATGGATGGATGATGGATGGATGGATGGATGGATGGATGATGGATGGATGGATGATGGATGGATGGATGGATGATGGATGGATGATGGATGGATGGATGGATGATGGATGGATGGATGGATGGATGATGGATGGATGGATGGATGATGGATGGATGGATGGATGGATGGATGATGGATGGATGGATGGATGGATGGATGATGGATGGATGGATGATGGATGGATGGATGGATGATGGATGGATGATGGATGGATGATGGATGGATGGATGGATGATGGATGGATGATGGATGGATGGATGATGGATGGATGGATGGATGGATGGATGATGGATGGATGGATGATGGATGGATGGATGGATGGATGGATGGATGATGGATGGATGATGGATGGATGGATGGATGGATGGATGGATGATGGATGGATGATGGATGGATGGATGGATGATGGATGGATGGATGGATGGATGGATGGATGGATGATGGATGGATGGATGGATGGATGGATGATGGATGGATGGATGGATGGATGGATGGATGGATGGATGGATGGATGATGGATGGATGGATGGATGGATGATGGATGGATGGATGGATGGATGATGGATGGATGGATGGATGATGGATGGATGGATGGATGATGGATGGATGGATGGATGGATGGATGGATGGATGATGGATGGATGGATGGATGGATGGATGGATGATGGATGGATGGATGGATGGATGGATGGATGGATGGATGATGGATGGATGGATGGATGGATGGATGGATGGATGATGGATGGATGATGGATGGATGGATGGATGGATGATGGATGGATGGATGGATGGATGGATGGATGATGGATGGATGGATGGATGATGGATGGATGGATGGATGATGGATGGATGGATGGATGGATGGATGGATGATGGATGGATGGATGGATGGATGGATGATGGATGGATGGATGGATGGATGGATGATGGATGGATGGATGATGGATGGATGGATGGATGGATGGATGATGGATGGATGGATGGATGGATGGATGGATGGATGGATGGATGGATGATGGATGGATGGATGATGGATGGATGATGGATGGATGGATGGATGGATGATGGATGGATGATGGATGGATGGATGGATGGATGGATGGATGGATGGATGGATGATGGATGGATGGATGATGGATGATGGATGGATGGATGGATGGATGGATGATGGATGGATGGATGATGGATGATGGATGATGGATGGATGGATGGATGATGGATGATGGATGGATGATGGATGGATGGATGATGGATGGATGATGGATGGATGGATGGATGGATGGATGGATGATGGATGGATGGATGATGGATGATGGATGGATGGATGGATGGATGGATGATGGATGGATGGATGGATGGATGGATGATGGATGGATGGATGGATGGATGGATGGATGGATGGATGATGGATGGATGGATGGATGGATGGATGGATGGATGGATGGATGGATGATGGATGGATGGATGGATGGATGGAAATAAAAATGTTGGGCCTCATGCCATGCAACATCATTCTTGTACTCTTGGTGTAAATTCTCTTACTTTTTCTCCCACTGTGGGCTCCTGTGGGTGCACCACATCAGATTCAACCCTTGTTCTTAACTTCAGTCAATGATCATGAATAATCCCTGCAAACTTAAAACATTACACCAGAGTATAAGTGAGCGCGCCTTCATGAAAATTGCCAGTCTACATAATTACCGCTGCCCATAATTCCATATAAGGCGTTGAATTTCAGGGCTCCTCAGTTGGTGTTCACTCACAGAAAGGGCATTGTAGACGAAAAAGAGAGATTTTACCAGTTTGGAGATCAAAGTTCTTCTGATTGAGAGCTAAGCAGCAGAATTAAAAGACCAGTAAAAGCCAAGCAGAGGGGAATAAATCACAAGAGATGTAAATGATGTGGTTACATGGACATTTACAGTTTATTTTTATATTCACAAACATAAAAATAATTTGATCCAAAAATGGTGTCAAAAACATGTTTAACAAAAGCAAGACCGTCAATAAGAACTACTGCTGGAGGCAAGAGGTTCAACATATGATGTAAATGCTTAATACAAATTTGCTATTAACCAACACAACAAGATTCTGCAAAATCTCCTTTCAATTCAAAAACATGCACTGTACATCTCATAAGGCAGGAATATGAAGTGAACTGAATGCAGTTTCAAGCAGTATCATGTTGCTAACCTCCTCTCTGAACTATCTATGTATTTTCTGTTCCAGGTGTTATTCAATAGTAGCTTGAAGGTATGCACCGATATGAAAATTTGGGCCGATACCGATATCTGAAATATATATATATATATATATATATATATATATATATATATATATATATATATATATATATATATATATATATATATATATATATATATATACCATATATATATATATATATATGGTATATATATATATATATATATATATACCATATATATATATATATATATATATATATATATATATATATATATATATGTATATATATATATATATGTATATAGATATATATACATATATATTTGTTGCAACAGTGGCGTTGGATGTAGGAGTTTGCCCTGAAATCGAAGGATTGACGGTTCGAGCCCCGACTCAGACTTTCAGTGTCGTTGTGTCCTTGGGCAAGACACTTCACCTGCATTGTCTACTGATGGTGGTCAGAGGGCCCGGTGGAGCCAGTGTATGAGAACCCTGCTTCTGTCAGTGAGCCCCAGGGCAGCTGTGGCTGCAATGTAGCTTGCCACCATCAGTGTGCGTGAATGGGTGACTTGAATAAAGGCGCTATCTAAGTACATGCCATTTGCCATATTGCTTTTATGGCCGATAACCAACATTTACCAGTATTGCACTTTCACACACATACACACGACCCCATAGTAGCATGTTTGGGATGGTTGTACTGTATTTGGCACCAACTTCAAATAAACAAAGCTGATTTTCAGAATCGTCTCACTTTATTACTGAAAATTTATACTTTACCATTTCAATTCTTAAGTGTATACAACTCTTCTTCCCAAACTAAAAAAAAAAAAAAACTACTAGGAGAAAATTTGGATCACAAATTTAAATGATATCAACTATAAAGAAACTAGGGAAGAGTGAAAACCATCAGTCCCTCCATATACTAGCCATACCTGTGCAGCGTATCTATCCAAAGCAATGCTCTGTTCAACCATCGTTCCAGGCGACTGGTTGTCAGAGAGCTGATTGGATCAGTCCGATAAATTTCTCTGGGTTACTCTCCGGCAGTCACCTAGTTCCCACTCAAAGCTGTGCATCTTGTGAAACGGCAGAGGTTTAATCCTAGAGTTAAAAAATGGAAATACAGGACTAATTTTACAGCAGAATATGCTAAAGTATATCCACGTCTAGTGAAGGTGATGAACAGTGGCGGACCTAGACCAAATTTACCAGGGGGCCAGGAGGGGGGCAGCATGTTTTCATAGGGGCATCTCCCTGAAATGAGTTTTTGGAACTTGGGATGTTACACAGTGGACACCTTCTCATTCCACCATGATGCATAGGACAAACAATCTTACCAATAACCAACCAGTTTTAAAACATTGATTAGAATAAAGTGTGTAATGGATTTATAAAAAATGGACTACAGTGTGGCTCCCGAGAAGTCCAGCATTCATGTAAAGAGTTGATCACAACTGAAATGCTTCAAAAACTATGTCTTTTAAATGTTAAGTGTTGTCCAAAATGTTTCCTAACAACATTTATTGGGTCTTTACTGACCCAAATGCACACACAACTACAGTTGCACTGTTAAAAAAAAACTTATAAAAAAACGCATTTAATTAAATCTTTTAGGGTTAATTTTTGTTTTAAATTTGTTATTTTTAGTCTATGTTTAGGTCTGTTCGTGAAAACAATTCAACACCCGACATTTTAAATTAAAAACACATTTTTATATTTTCTAAAATTAAATTTTTTGTATTTCAGTAATTATATTTCATATCTTGACATTTTTATTATTTAAAAACACGTTCTTAATGCTTAACATGATTTCAGTAAGGACAGGAGATATCGTGAAATAATTAGTGTTTTATTTAGTGATCATTTGTCGACGGTAACCTCTCTCTCGGAAACAAGTGCTGCTCCCGCCTCCATGCACTGAGTCTCGCTTTGATTGGTCTGTAGACTTAGCAATAATTTCAGAGAACCAATCAGCGTTAAGAACTGGGACCTTTTGGATGACGTTGAAGGCTGCATCCCGGAAGAAAGGTCGCGTGTGTTAACCAACCTCTAATGTTCCATGGAAGAAGCTTAAAGTCATTTTTGGGTAATAAAGATATCAAAACAGTTCAGAAATGTCTAAAGACTTTTAACCAAGATCTCGTGGACGTTAACCACCACATGTATCAGGCGTTTTAATTAGCGGCTGCCGTATTTAGCATGGTTAGTGTCCATGTGAGGCTCTGTATGCAGCTGGTTGTGAAAGGCAGAGCCCTGTCTGCTGCTGTAACGGTTCCACGTTTAGATTCTACTTTCCGCAGGACT